AGAATGTATTTATTTAATTGCGATGATTTCGGGGTATTAGATCTCTGAACAGCTTAGCTTGAAACTTTTGGGGAGTTAAGCTAATTCGTATTTGAGCTTACATAATGAGTGGATAAACCAATTAAAATACATAAAACAATATCACTAAAGACGTAATGGTAGAAATTCCCTAAAACAAGCAATTAAATGACTGTAAATAAGCTAATACGAATTTCAAAACCTATTTCTATATCTAAATAATTTAAACACTGGAAAAATATTTTTTGATATCCGTATAATCATGTAGCCATATTCAATTTTTCACAATAAATAATTATTAAATATTAGTTAAAAATATGGATAGAGAAAAAACTAATGGGCCCATTGAGGAAGAAATTTAAGCGATATAGTTAAGCATTATTAAAAGACAGCAAATGAGATATTTTTATTCTAGATTGAATATAGTTAAATGGTAGAGCATAGGCAAACTGTTAGTTGCGATTCTATACCCCATTATGTTATTTACCATGGAAAATTGAGGTATGCCGAATAAGTATTATTTAAAAAAAGCAGAGTATGGAGATTATATCAGCCAGAATAAGCGTATACAGTTATAGATTCAGTCAATAATAAAAGCAAATTAGCCTGCCCGTCTGAATCAGATAGCTTCTACGAAGTTGAAGATATCAAGACCAAGATGTTGTGGCCTCTAGTATGATTGCAGCCTCCTTTCGATTTATAGGAGTGGGTTGACCTAGTCTTCGGACTAGGTGCGTTCTACTAAGTCCCCATGAGAACAAGACCAGGTTGTGACGAGGTCAACCCACTTCTACGAAGTTATTATAAAAAATAAATTATACCACAAAAATATCTTTAAACTCTAAGTTGTCGTTGTAGGCCTTAAAAATAATGCTTTCGTTGACCTTTATTGAATAATATATGATGTAACAATAAGACATTGTTAATATTAATATAAAGATGCAAGACAGTAAGGCCTGGAATAGAGCAGTCAATAAGAAAGTAAAAACCTAGTTATATAAGAGCATAATTATGAAAATGGCCGGCAAAGCGTACGAAATATATTATCTCACCGATATCCACTGCCCCCAAAAGGCTTAACTTTAGATGTGGAAGGATGATCTGTAACTCGAGTTTTCTCCAATACTTCTGCTCCACTCTCTTTGGTAGTTTGAAAAATTTTATGAACTAAATTTTCTGGAGATGATAGACGCTTCAAGAGGTCTGCCGCTGGTACATCGCGGCGTCGTGGCCCTAGCACCTGTTGACCCCCCCCTCCAGTCTCTGATCCACCAACATAGAATGCCTGAGGTTCGTCTCCGCCATCTTCATCTTCATTAGGCGAAATACTATAAATAGTGAGATTTTTTAGGAATTTAATAAAATTGAAGCAAAATTAATAAATTAGAGGGCACGCAACTTTTTAGAAAATCATCAATGTCAAAGGTAAGGATAAAATTAATAATAAGGATAGTGTAGGACTAAACCAATAGAAGTGTATTCAAAAGGCATAAAAACATCCATAGTTAAATAAATATCAATGCTAAGACAAATATATAAAAGTACGGGACCCCTATTGCAAAGTAAATTACATTTTTAGGGCCTGTGAGAAAAGATCCAGGTTTATTCCTCTGCATGAAAAGTTTACTTTTAACAAAGCAAAGTAGTAAGTCCAAAGTTAAAATCCAATCCATAAACATAGTAAAGAGTCTTAAGTAAAGGATAATCGTACAGAGAAAACGAAACCAATAAATCTGAGGCTTGACATATCAGCAAATGAGCAA